TTTTTACCGTACACCTTCACCCACTAGTTTTACAAACGGCGCAAAATTTGTATATTTTGACAAATGCCGGAAGTGAAAGAAACACAACTTTGAACACGTTTAGCAACATCCCATTTCAAACTTTTATTTTTCTTAGATATTTTCTTTAACTTCATAATGATTGTTTATTTAAAACATCCGTTTCTTGAGTTGAGCTTTGACAAACAAAACGATGCACAATTCACACCTTGTTGTTAGTTTTGACACTTTAAATGATCTCTAGTTGGCCTCGTTAAGCCTTCCTTGCACTGTCTTGGAATGTAAATTGGAGCGTCGGCGAGCCGGGAATTTTTATTACCCCTCGAAGAATGCCGCTCGAACGCCGCACGTAGGTTTGATTTATAACGCCGAAAACCACCCCCGAATAAAAAGCCGACCACATTTTAATTTCTGCGCGTCGTCTCGTCTTGCCGTGCACTAATTTTTATTCCTTTTTGAATTCATTGTGCGCGGGCGGCCGCGGCTGCCACCGTCCGGCGATAAAATAAAGGGAGCGACGCTGAAGCGCGCCAGCTTTACACATTAGTTAAGTTGGAACACTACCCAGGGGTGCGATAAAAAGCTACGAATTGTGCTGGCGCCGATTTAAAATTCGCCTCCGAATTTCCGACGCGCGTGAAATTTCGTTCTGCATTACAAATATGAGTTAATGTGAGGTTACACTTTGATTATACAAACAATTTGTTCCCTGAGTTTTAAATTTTCAAAAAAATAATAAAAATTTTGTTTGTGTTTTTCAATTGTCTACTCAAAGTGCTTAAAATCTGTTTTTCTCTCTACAAAAGCACTTAAATTTTATTTCGGGACGCGTCGGACATTAAACGTTTTATTATCGTTTTATTAATGACTCAATCGAATGTGCATGCGAGTTGTTTACATGCTGGTTGAAGAACGTGGGTGACATTTGCGTCTGTGTGGGCCACAAATAAAAATGATTAATTAGTGGGGCGTTCCGATGCATATTTTTGGTCATTTTCGGCAAACTGTTGCTTCGGTGATTTTTAAGCTGTTTTGAGTAATGTTTTTCTAACAAGCCTACCGCCGAGAGCGGAAGTCACGCGCGGCGTGTTTGGGGAAGCAGGTCATTTTCAAGTTTTTGGCTTTATTTCTATTTTGACAAGTTGGTGTGTGTTCCGCGTGGAGAGGAAATGTCCATTTATTAAGAACTGTCACATTGTAAATTTTGGTGTAGATTTTTGTTGTGTTTTGATGCTTGGAGGCTGAAAAATCAGAAATCTTTTAACGCAAATAATTACATTCATTCATTTTGTGAGAGGGCTTGAACCCATGCCGAGAGTGCGCGGGCCAACACACAGAAAATCATTTCGGTAAAACAAAAGGCCTAAGCACATATAATTCAACCCTTTTTAGTAGTAAACGACGTACTTTATATTGTAATGTGTTGTATTTTATGTATGTGCGTACGAATTGTATGCTAAATGAATATACACCTATGGGCAACATTATTAGAACCAAAATTTTCATCCCCCACAAAATCTCTGTTCGATTTTTTAGAAAAATAAATATTTTTAAGATGAATTAAAAAATATGTTTGTTAGGAGAAATAATTTTTGTTATAATTTAAATTTGTGAATGTAAACGTATGGTTGTAAATTTTCTGGAGCGTTGCGTATGTGTTTGGAATATCTCTTTTTGGCGAAAGGGGTGTCTTCCCCGAAGGCCTACTGGGCTCGCACTACTTGGGGCTACTTCGTAAATGACGCATGTGCAATTATTCGAGATATATGAGTGCAGGCCGTGCGGATCGTGCCGACCCGTAGCCTTCACGACGCCGTTTATTAATTCCACGCGCCACGCGCCCCCTCGGACCCGCCGCCCCATATGCTCGCGCGCGCACTAACTATGCGAATTTCGTGCGCGCTGCTCCCGGAGGTTCCCGGAGGTCCCCGGCGCACCCTCGCACTATTCCTCCTCCTCCTCGCCGGCGCATCTTCATATCGCGCGAGTAACGAGCCCTCAAAGGGTTAGCTAGTGCGCTTGACCGTGTGCGCGCAAACAATGCAATGTTTTTAATTAAATATGCATGCGATACGCCTTCGCGCTCGCCGAAGAAACGGCCGAAAAACGCCGCGCCGCAGTTTGTTCAAGACCTCCGCAATTTTGAGCATTCGGAAAATCTGCGAGGAAATCCTTTTGTCTTTTGAGACCGCTGCCGCCCGCCGCCGCCTTGCGCCCCACCATCCCGGCCATCCTGGTGTATCACAAATGGACGATTTCATTTCGTTTGGGTCAGTGAAACAAGCGCGCCGAGCGCGAGCCCGCCCTACATTACCCCTAAGTTCGTTCGCCTGTCGGTGTGTGCAAGTCGCCCGGCTTTAAAATCCCTTTTCGCGTCCGTCCTATCGAACGGCGGCTGCCGGCAAAGCCAGCGTACACATTCGGGGCGCACCCTTGGACAGTGGCCGGTTTAAATCCACCCCCTTTACTTTAATAACTCCTGCCCTTATTAAAGGGTTGCGATGTCCGTACGGTCGGCAAAGCAAAGCAAAGCTGCTTCGGCTCCACAGCATCAGCATCAAGCTCGACTTGGTCCAGCGCACACCAACACACACCCACACAAATACACGCGTGCTTCCATTGCACTTGTTCTTCCTGCACGGGGTTAATCTCGTTACAGGAGGATTTATGCCGCCGAAAATATCTTTGCTTTCCGTCCGCACTATGCGCGCTAAGTAAATGAAACCGAAACGGAAATGGGCGACACGCCGCTGCGCCGGCGAAAGTAAAAATGCGGACGAAAAGTGGAAAGTTGGAAACAGATAGACGCGGAATTTATTGCCGGCGGCGAACAATGCATAAACAAAGCAGCCCGCGCGCGTTTATTTTATATTTCGTTTCTTTTTGCCTCTTTTAATGGGCTTTCTCCCGGCGGGCCGGGCCCGCTACCCTTCACTTGTTTTATCTATTGTACAAACTTGGAAGTTATTTAAAACATGCGCTTACGGTTGACCTGTGAATTCTAATGAATTCAAACAATATATTTTACGCAAGTGTTACAAACTCAACCAGGTACCGCAATTTTTTGTTTTTGTTTTTTAGAAACAAAAAAAAAACATTTCTTCGGGTGAATTCACTTTGGTTTGGACTGTTTGTAAACGCTTGGGTAATTTCAACAGCGCGTCAAAGGACATCTTAGAAAACTCCCTTTGAAAATCTTAAAAGACCTCAATTCCTTGGCGGTACGCCGTGGAAATTGTCGGAAAACTCAAACAAGACGCCCCCCCCAGCAATTAAACTAACAAATGCTCGAATGGACACGAAATTAAACTCAAACAAATTTCACCTAAGTGGCGTTTCCTGGATGACTGCCTGAATGAATTAGTTTTTCCGCAATGATGAACAATTGGTGTCAAGTTCCCATTCATTCATCATTTGCGGCGTGAGTGCGAGGATATGAATGAAAACCGGGCGGGGAAAAAAACGCGCGCTGTGTATCGGCGGTCGTCGGTCAGTTAAAGCTGTATGAATAAAGGATAAGTAAGTTAAAAAAAAAGCCTCGAAATGTAAATATGGTTAAAATTTTCGCCGCCTCTTTGGTTTTGCGCCGAGCAGGCGAGCGAGGGAGCGCGGCGTCGGGCGGCGGACACGTATGTGGCGCTTGCGTACCGCCGGCCGCCCCGTTCCACGGCCGCCCGCTCACCGCTAGCAAATTCGCAAAACCGCCGTACCGACGCAGCGCATCTCGCTCCGATCGCTCGGCGAACACGCGCGCTGCATCCTTTATCATCGCGCGCCCAAAAGCCCGGCCCAATCTGACCGCAGCGCGGCGTATCTCGTTTCGTCTCGAGCGCGCCGCCTCGCCGCCTCTCCGTCGGCGGCGCCGGCGAGCGCTCCCGGCTCGCCTTCACGCGGCGCCTCCGTCCCGATGCGACATCTCACTCACGCCTGTAGGACGCGCGCACCGCGGCGCCTTCGCGCGGGCGGCGCTCCTTTTTCTTCTGATAAGCGAAAAGGGTTATCAGCGCGGGCGGCGCGGGAGCGGGCGCCGCCGGCACCACCTGCTACGACTCGCAGCCGCATCGGCGCTCCTCGTCGCGCGCGCACGCCGCCGCCGCGAGCCGCGCGTGCATGGGAGGCGAGCGAGACGCCGCCGGCGGCGCACACGCTTGCAAGTGAGACAGCGCGCGCCGTTGCCCCGTACTCGAGGGTGGTTTATTTAATGCCGAAGAGTGGTGATACTCAGTTTCGTGTTTACTGCGTGGATTCGCTTGTACTGTTGGAACGTTTAGTAGCCAAAATACCGCTCGACCAAACTGATTTGGATTGCGGACTTGCTCCTGCACCGGCTCCTGCAACGTGCGCGCATTTCAAACAATCGAACAAGAAGTAGTCACAAACCGTCCGCAACTTTTTTGAACGCGCGCGCGGAAAAATGCGCGCGTGAACTGACTGACGTGTCTCGTGTGCTCGTGGTCTTCGCGCGCGGCGTCCAAGAGATTGTCGTGGTGCGGTGCGGATCACGTTTGATCTATTTTTAAACGAAGCGTGCTGCCAGCCGGATTTTTTTATTTCATGTGTGAACTGTGTGTGGTCCGTTTGCCATCCGCGAGCACCACGCGCGGACTCGCGCGAGTGAAGTCGTGAGAGCACATTGCAGTCGTCCATCAACGTCGGCCAAGCGTACATCGCGCCCACACACACCGCCGCGCGATTGGAAAAGTTGGCAAAGTTTTAATTAGTTCGTCACGAGCCGTCCGAAAAGTTCGCGAGCGCTGCTGCCGCCGCGCTGCACGCACGCACACCTGCCCGCCGAAGAATTAAAAAATCCCGCGCGCTTTCCCAACTCCCCCACCACCACCACATCACACACGCACGCATATTTTTTCCCGCGTGCTCCGCGTGCAAAACACCTGCGGATGAAGACGCTGGTGAAGTCTTTGGCCGACGCTAGCAGATGTGCACGCTGAATGTACGGTGACTGGAATTCGTCGCAGGGCCAACGCAGCGAAGTCACGATGCATCTGACAGCGACGAACACCTCCAACAGCCAGACGGCGACCGGCGCCGCCGCCTCACCGGAGGGCACCAATATCATCAACGACACCTACAGCAAGATGACGTCGGACATCCTCGCCGAACGTACCCTCAATGATTTCCTCTCCGAACATCCTGGCGAGTTGGTGCGCACCGGTAGTCCGCTGTTCGTGTGCACCGTCTTACCGCCGCATTGGCGGTCGAATAAAACTCTACCGGTGGCATTCAAAGTAGTCGCGTTGGGGGACATCGGCGACGGGACGGTGGTCACTGTGCGCGCCGGAAATGATGAGAATTACTGCGCTGAGTTGAGGAACTGCACCGCCGTGATGAAGAACCAAGTGGCGAAATTCAACGATCTGCGCTTCGTGGGCCGCAGTGGACGAGGTACACTTTACACACCTTTAAATCACACACACACACACATGAAGTGCGCATACATAATATGGATCGTAAACAGAATTGAAATTTCATGCATGCTGAAGGATAACAGCGAAAAAAGCAGGCGCGGAATATGCGGAGATATCAATTGCGTGGTGCACGCGGCAAAACGCTCGTTGGAATGTTTGATTGTTTGAACGTTGAAGCGCGGAGGGTGAATGATGGGGTCGGACGTTCAAGTGAATTAAATCCTTGTTCAAACATGCATGTTGGGACATATTACTCGTGGCTGTGTATAATGCATGATCGCCCTTTTTTTTCCATTTTTTACGCGCCAATTTTTCAATTATCTCCACGCGTATTACACCCGCCCGAAATTCACTTTTAAACGACCGCGTGGCTTCAGCTAAATTAACTTTGCAAGGATCCGGTGCGTAATAAGGTGGTGACTTTAACGTCCGCATGGAAATAAGAAAATTTCCTTCACGGGCGCCGATTCCGCCCGACGAATCGGAAGTTGCAGGCGAGGCGAGGCGGAGCGTCGCATCCTCCTTTTCTCAACTTTTCCCGCCACTTATCCGCAAGGATACTTCCTTAGCGTATTACGCCGTTGAGTAAAAAATTCCTCGCTGGGAATTTTGTTTCATCCTCATGTCTACTTTTGCTTCCATGCCTCCCGGATGCTCGAAACCGATGTACTAAATTTTTCATCGACCGCAATCCGCTTTTTCCTTTGCCGGAAGCAAAAAGTGCGCCGGCAAAGTTTCGGCCCGAAACACAGCACAAAGTGCTCCAACTCCGGGCAGGTTTTTGCGTCGGTGGGCGCTCGGAAAATGTGCGCGGGGAACATTTTCGTTTCGGCGAACGCGCCTCGTCATTCCTGGCATCTTTTCTTCGGCGTCCGACGGGCGGGTAACGCGAGCGCGTCGAGTTAACTTTTCCGGCGAAAGATAGTTGGCATTCTTATAGACTGCCGCTGAAAACGTCGAACGGATGCGCGCGATTTCAGGAATCTTCGATGTTTTCTCTGGTTTTATGCGCTTACTTCTCTATCGAACATACTTTACGTGTTAAGTAGATTTTATCAAGGAATTTTCATGCATCGCATTCAGCAATCGAAGCCTAGATGTTTGGAATATTTTTCGAAAAAGGGTCATGCATGCGCTGAGACAATCTACATACCTGAATGATAATATTTCAATTGTTGTGAGAGTCATGCATGATATTTTGTTTCGGCTCGAATTTTCGTTTCTGACGAAAGGGCGTAGCGATTAATTAATTAATTAAAACGTAATAATTGTAAACCTATACGCAATGGACGCATAGTCCGGCCGGCCTAGCGACGGTCGCTGCAGCGGCGGCGGCAGCGGCGAAATTTATAATTGTCATTAATATTTTAATTAATAAATTATGTAATTAACGCGCGTGCACACATTGCAGCTCTACCTAGCGCGCAGCGTATAATTAATCCACTCGTTCAAATGAATTAGGGGCATTAACGAGTCCGCCGCGCCGTCGGGGCATATGTTTCGCAATGCAATGCAACCGGCCGCCCCCGGTTGCGCCACCCACTATCAACAGTCGTGGACACGTGTTTCGTGCATGCATCATGCGACGCATGCAGACGGCGCGCAATCGTTTTTGACCCTTTTTGCTAATCGAAAAATCGTCGGCAGCGCAAACGGGAAATCTTTTTGATGTCACAATCGAAATCGCGGCGGGGTATCGTTTGTCTGCATTGGAATTGCTATGCATAGAGCGCGGATGATTGATAGAAGTTGTCGGTTATTTGATTAAAGAAAACTTTTAAAGTAGTTGGCAAGTAGTTGCGTGTCGGCGGCGGCGTGCACGTGGAGTGACGGCGTCGCCGGGGGTTTTTGGCTCGGTGTCTGTGGAAGCGGTTGGGTGCGGTGGCGGCGCGGCGGGCCCGTAATGCGCGGCGATGGCCGGGCGCCGGCGGCGGCAGGCACCGGGTCCGCGGTCAGGCCACTGCCTAACCCCGGCATCGGTTGCGTGGTCGACCTCCGACGCCACATACACCACGACCATCGCCACCGCAGCCACCCACTTACACTAACGCGATTTCCACCTAAATCTTGATCGAGCGCGCCCGCACACTCGCAGCGTGGCGGCGGCGGCGGCGGCGGCGGCGACGGGCGCACGCAACACACGAGCGCGCCCGCACGAACGGGCGCGCGAAACCGACATTACACATCGACCGATATTACACACGTTCGAGTGTTTCGCAGCCGCCACCGCCGACGCCGTCACCGCCAAACCGACCCAACGCACGCCCGACCGCCGATTCGGATATTCAGACGTTTAGACGTTTCGCAGCGCGCCGCGGCGAGACGCATAAACAACACAATCGGAAGAGCGCCGCCGTTATGGGGTTTGCCCGACCGCCGCCAGGAACAAGGATAACCGACTTCTGACTTTATCAAATTTACCCATTATCCAACAACTAGCACGTGTCTCTCCGCGAATACACCCACGCACGAGTTATGTAAAAATTAATTCAATCGAAACGCCAACGTTGCACACATTTTGCGGCGAGCGCAAAAAATACGCGCAAAATAAAAACACAACCATCAATGAATGACGCACATTGTACGATCAAACGGTTTATTCCTGCGACAAACCTCGGCGCACATGCGATAAACGCTTGTTATCGGATTAATGAATGAATATTGCCGGAAAAAAATCAACGACCACTTCATCGCTGCATACATGCGGTTCGCATGTTGTTAATAAACCTTCATTAAACACATTGTACCTTAAAATTACATACAAGGTGTTAATTTTACAATAATGCAGAAAAAAGTTATTTTTCGCCTAAAAATTTTTTGAGTTTTAAAATTTTGTATTTTGTTTCAAGCGAAACTAAATGAAATATTTTTGGGTTTTGGCACAGAACGATTGGTATAAATAAAATGTTTACATGCGTAATTTATGCGCTATGTGTGAGGCGGCGACCACGCTGTGTGTGTGTGTGTGCGAATAGCGCGTTAAAAATCGATGCGTTTTAAAAGTGGCCAGAATGTAGCGGTATGTTTGAGGTATCACACAAACCCTAATGGCCGGGTTAAACACATCAAGTAGTGTGCATTTTTCAACCGGAGAGCGGCGCACACACACATTTTCACATACATTCACCCACGCCTACACACCTCCACCGCTGGTGGAAAAAGCTCGCACGGGTGTTTTCGACGTATTGGTGAGTGTGGAGTATATACACACACACATACATGCACACTGGGGGCGGCGATTCGCGCCAACACGCGCCGCTTCCTAAGTGTCCAAGCGCACACGTACGAATGCGGCGGCGGCGCCGGTGTGTGGTGCATTCGCAAATAACGCACACACCGAGAGTACCTCCGAGCGCGAATTGACGCTTCGTCCAGCAGCACACACTCATTACCTTTGGGCCGCGCGCGCAAACATGCGAGTCCGCTGCCGCCGCCGCCGCCGCGCGGGTGTACGGAAAAAAGCGCCGCGCTGAGCAAGATAACACCACCGAACGCGAGCGCAAAGTGGAAATGAAAAAAAGCAATATCATCGAATGCGCGCTCTCGGCGGCGGCGGCAGCGGTGCACGTGCGGTGGTAATGCGTAAAATACGTCGGTCGCACATCATACACACGTCGGCGCGCGCGCGCGCGACACAACATTTTCCTACAATAAAAACCGCCCGCAAAAACGCCACAAACGCACTTGAAACTCGACGCGTTTTTTTTTCTGCGCGCTGCTTTTGATTTACAACCAGCTCTCGAAATGTTTTTGTAATGATTGATATCGCTGTGGATGCTAATCGCAGTGTGTTTTATTTCAGGCAAAAGTTTCACGTTAACGATCACCGTGTCGACGTCGCCGCCCCAAATTGCCACCTACAATAAGGCCATCAAAGTCACCGTCGACGGGCCGCGCGAGCCCAGATCCAAAACGAGTAAGTTTTAATTTATTAATCTTGCACTTATTTAAATTTCCACGCCGAACGCAATGTTATTAATTAGCTGCAGTGAGTGAACCCCATTTTCTTCGCTGGTTTCCGGCTCGTGATTTCCTAATTTATTAAATTCCGAGCGTCTGGAGCGCGTTAAACTCTTAGCACTTCTTTAAACTGTTGCTTGCGGGGGCGAAAAGGAAGTCAGCGCAATGCGGGCAAATCCGATGGGGTCGAACTTTTCCTCTGCCTCCTTATTCTTTCCGCATCTTTACACACTTTCGCCGCGGCGTTTGTCTTTGCTGGTAACCTGTTGCATTCGCCGTGGGGGCCGTCTTGGCTCGCCGGCGTCTTTAAAACACGCCAAGATTGCAAATCCGGCGACGGCGGCGCGAACGTGTCGCGCCCCGTTCTCGGACGACTTTATTCACCCCTCTTGTTGCGTCACCTAATTCCCGTGTTTGTTGTTCATTCTTCGGTGTCTTATGCGCGTATTTATGAAGTTCATTACTTCATCATCTCACATTCCGACTTTTGGAATTCTTCGCTATACCACAGAGATTTTTGAGTTGGAAAATGTGAGGAAAATTTCGGAAATGTTTGCGATAGTCTACGTCTAATTCCGCACGCGAATAATTCAAATCAGGATGCATCGGATAAGTCCCTCGTCCCCTTCGGTTCGAACTCACACACATTATCCAGATCGCATCAGCGTCAACCCGGCGTCGGCGAACGACACGCGCAGGCAGGAAGGCGCGCGCTCGCATTTAGGAAATTGACTGACCCCTCGAGGAGATTCGTAGATTAAACGATCGATTAGTGCGAGCGCGCCAGAGACACATGCGAAATTACTTTGAATTTATCAATTAAATCGAGAAGAAAACTAATTAACTCAAAGCAAAACTACCAAGCCCAACACCCAACCATTTATAATTTAAACAAAATTAATTTATTAATTTAAATTCCCGTGCAGGTATTATTATGATATGTATGCATACCGGCTGATAACTGCGGGGGTCGTGTGAAATTTGATTCCGTGGACTCACGCGGCGCTTGCATCTGAATGTGTAAGCAATGCTCGGGAATTGTTTATGCACGCGCTGGCGTCTAATAATACGCGAATATCTCTGCTCCTGGTCGGTAAACCAAATGGGCGCAGCTTGAGTGAACCGTGTTTACGCTTCGGGGGACGCCGCTTTGCTTTTATTACTCGTTTTGCTGCTTTTTTTTTCACTTTGTGCTGCGCGCCTCCACCGGCTGCGCGCAAGACGACAATGCATCGCGGCGAAAACTCTCTGATGTCGTCTGCCGGGCGTCTTTTTTGTCTATCGTTTTATGGTTACTTTACTGCTTCGTTTGAGGCGCGCGGCGAAACTCCCGAACTACGAAAAACTAATCGTTAATTCTCGACTATTAAATTCTGCAGCCGGCGGCGAGTGCAAGCTTAGAGCTTTTAAAAGCACGCACACACCACCAACACAGGCCGAAATGTTACATACAACTTGTTACCGGATTTCGTTGCGAAACCCGAAAAACACCAACTTTTCATAATTTTCCACTCGCGAGAAATTTTGCTCAATGCGAAAGTAGTTAGTTGCAATGCTTGGACGGGATGCAAAATGTTGCTGGCAGCCGCCCCCCGACGTGGGGTTAATTATGTATGAAGTTTGAAAATAGTTCGGTTTAACAAGCTGTATTCAATCGCTGAATCAGTGCGGAGTGTGTGCACTTTCCACGCTGGGAAAAGTGCAGCATTTTCCCGTCGCCTTCACACCTCCCAAGCTCCGCCGGAGTGCGAGGACAAGTGTGCAAACTCTCACCCTAATCTAATACATGTCAGATCCGAGCGGAGACTCGCAGCGCGAAAAGTGTCCATCTGTCCGAGCGGCCGTGCGGGGCCCACGTGATAACGACAACTACAACGAAATTACGGCCGACTGCAGGCGCTGCTGGAGACATTTCGTTAATAGCCGCGCGCGCATTGTCGCAGGTTTTGTCTCCTGCTGATTGCACCGCTATCGCCGCCGCCGCTGCCGTAGACGTTAATTAATATATACTGGAAGGACGCTCGCAAAGTGGGAAAACGTAATTATTTTGATGCGAGCGCTGCGCGTCGAGTACAACCCCAGGTTGTACCCGGCTGTCACCCGGACGCACTTCCGGAAGACACTGATGTAGCGATGGATTTTAAACGAATTATTGTGTGTCATTTTGCGCCTACAGCCCGCAAACGCCCCTGACACACTCCTGGAACTGATTCGCTTAGATTAACGAAAAATATTTCCTATGAAGGGTACGTGAAGCAAATACACCTTCTAAATATTCATCCAGGCCGCCGAAAAGTTTGCAGTGTAAGTCCTTGGTGAGTGTCGAGTTCGATCTGCATGAGGCTGGCGTGAGGAGAAACGCAACGAATTTCCCTAAATTTGCAAGCGACGTGGCGCGGACGCGAGCGCGGCATAGGTACCCGAATTAATGAATTGAATTGGTTGATTAATTAATTAGAGACCGGGGCTCATCTGGGGCCTCTCCCGCCGATTCTCCGACTCGGCGAATATATCCGAATCGAGTACCATTCCTGACCCTTTCCTGACGTTTTCTCAGCTCGCCGCCGCCGCCACCCCCAGCCGCCTGCCGACATCGCGTGTTACAACTATTGCGCCCCTTTCGCCGCGTACCTATTTCCCTATTTCAATTTACATTTACATTTATTCTCATTGATTTCCACGTTGGGATTGGGTCCTCGGCCCGTAGCTACTCGTTTATGCATTGTGTTCAGTTGTTTCAGCGTTGGGCATGTGCGCGCCGCACTTCGAATTTGATAATTAAGCAAATGCAAATTCATTAACATGCATTGCCGTTTTTCTGCAAAGTTCCACCGAGTAAAAACAACAATTGCAGCCAGTAAAACACATTTTTTACGTGTAATGTGCCATGTGTGTTGCCTATCTCTATAAAAATAGCCAAACAGAAGCCATTTTGGTAGTCATAAAATAAAACAACGCTTTTTACACGTCGGTTGTTGTATTTTATGAATTTCGAATTTGTTTGATGATAAATCATAGTAAGACGCTGACAGGCAGACGTCGCGGGCGATAACCGCAGGGCTTGTTTGCCAGATAACGCTCGGGGGTCCTGAAGTTTACGCGCGCCGTGGCCCCAACGACCGACTGGAAGCCGGAGTGGAAGTTTCAAGCCTAGTTTGTTCCAGAGAAATTGCTACAACTTCCTGCTATATTAGTTCACTTTAACTTCTCTTGTTCCCTTCTAGGAGAGCTCGACGGCCATCCCGTTCATTCCAGGCGACATCCTCATTTCAGCAAACTTGCGAACAATCATCTTCCAAAGGGTGCCGGTTATTAATAAGAGATATTGAAGACATTTAAGTCATTGCAGTACAACTTGGAGCACCCATTGAAGTTCGCCAAGTCATCGAGATCATTAGCTTACTAATTCTGCAACTGCGGCTGGAATTCAACGATTTATTTTTTTTTCATTGTTGTTTATTGTAGTTATGTAGTTGGTAGCTATATGTGCCTTTTATATTGATTTCGGACAGCATATATGGATCTAATGCGATAGTGCTTTCCCTTCTAGGACAGCAGCAGCAGTTCCACTTCGCTTTCGGCCAGCGGCCGTTCCCGTTCGCCGCGTCGGACCCTCTGACCGGCTTCCGAATGCCTCCGATCGGAAATTGCAACAGTACGTATTCTAATTATTATCGTGCTTCATAAAAACCAGCATCCAGCTTGGATATAACTCAGATATAAGTCGGGTCCGGAATAAATTTCGAATCTAAGTCAGGATGTTGAAAGTCTCGAAAGAGGCAATAAATGCACGGATCTACGCTTCTTTGAGTGCCATCCAAATATATTTCGACGCCGGAGTTGGGGCACTAAGTAACAACATGCAATAGTCAGCATCAGCAGGTCGTTTAGCACCAGACTGGGTTCCGCCACGCGCAGTCATTAAGACTAAGATCTATGAGGTGCAAGTTGGAGATTTTCGTAGATTTCCACACTTCGCCGATAGTTTTATGCAAATCTTTTAGTTTTCACTCGTAGTTGTGTAGTGTGCGCAACACCGTACAATTCAAGTACGCAGAAAGGAGTACAGGAAGCGGAGTAAAAGGACATGGAATGGAAGATTAAACATTGAGCAGTGAGTACTGAGCAAGCACGCGTACTCGGCGTACATATTAAAACGATTCAAACAAATTAAGTTTAACTTCTCCCAATGGTGTAATAAATATAATTCATTACTTTCCGCGTTTTCGCGCTCGGGAGCGTGCGCGCGCGGCGAAACCGAGCGGAACATAACATATTCAAAACGTTCCGGCCGTTGTCGACCTTTTGCCACCACTGGCTGGCACTGTTTTTCACCCCGACGCGTTATTTACATGATTTACACGAAAATTTCGCATGGAAAATTCATGCGCACGTTGCGTCAAAAATTACATCCGCAACAAGTCATCAAATCAAACCGAAGCGAGCGCAGTTTTTCGACTGATTTAATTAAAATTTACAAATCCGCTGAGCTCATTTATCCGATTGTTGCCGGTGATGATTTTCATCTTTGATCGTTGTACATTTATTTCATTCAGTTGGTGAGTAATTTGTGAAGAGTAAAAATGCGTGCTGCTGCTGCGTTTAAGTAAATTTTGCTTCATTATTTGCGGTGGCAAACAGAAAAATTACATCGATTCGAATTCAAAATATGCCACGCAAACACACATTGTTACGCGCTGTGTTTGTCCCAGCGCGTCGCGCGCGCGTTCGATCGAACATTTCGGCAGTTTGTTTGTTATTGAATCGCCAGCGGTCGCCGCAAAAACGAATTAATTGACTTTTTTCCATTTTCCAATTTTCCATTTCGCTCTTTATACATTGCGATGCGTGGCGCGTTTGTTCCCGGCCTCATACAGCACGTTCAACAAAACAATCCTCAATCGAAAATTCAAACAAACACTTTAAAAACTTCTCCGGATGAAATACGATCGAATCAAATGAAAACAAATCTGTCTGTTGACGATTTCAAGATCAATAGTGTTTGGCAATGCTAGCGATTTTTTTTTTGCGTAAAAGTAAACATAAATATCAACACTCGGAGTTGCTTGGAGTGCACAAATGTCCGCAAAAACAGTCACGACCGATCATCACGCTCGTGCGTCGATTTTTTTCGCAATTCGCTTGTTTAAAGCGAACAACGCTGCGGAAAAAACGATCAAATTGTCAATCGTATCATGGCACATCGCCGCAGCGGAAAGCGAAGCGCGATAAAATGCGAAGCACGCGCGCGGCCGATTTGCGTATTGTTTTTCCACGCATTGCGTAAATAATGATTTAATTGCACGATAATTAAGCGATGCAATTACTTGATGCAATGATTTCGGCCACCGCGAAGAGGCGCGATTAATTGGCCATAATTTAATTTGGTACTCATTTTATCGAATGCACAATTTTCACGTTTCGGCCGCGACGGCTGGAATTTTTATGCGCGAGGATTTAAATGAGTGAAATTCGGTGACACGTCGATGACAATTCGGATACCTTTTGGAAAATGTCATAATTTCTGGTAATTACGATTGTTCGCTGCAATTTTCCGCCGAGTGTAGTTGACATTCGACGTGGGGCGACGGGCGGCGGCGGATGGCCGAAAGCTGTGGGAGTTTTCGGGTCGATATATGCTCATCAAGTGCATTACCGACATGTACAGAGTACACACTCCATTATATCAACTATAATACCTATTAGTACACCAATTAAATTTCCCTCGGCAGCGCCCCGCGTGATCGCAATGTGTGGGCGTCCGAAGCCGGCGTTTCGTTACGTTTTACCGCCAACGCCGCCTCCGCCGCTGCAACACATCCGCAGATAATGGACCGTCCGTGCGCGGTCCACACCAGCCCGCACAAAGTGTAATATGAAATGGTAAATGAGGTCGAATTGCATCGGCGTACACTGCAGCATGCATACGCGCGCAGCGCTGCTGCTATTAGCGGGCGGCAGGCGGCGGGCGATACTTCTATCCGTTCCATCTGATAATTTAAATTAGATTATTACCGTTCTGCAATCGATAGAGGTGGGCAGTGTGCGCGTGAAAGCGCCACTCGGTTATAACTTGCCACACACTACCATCACGCTGCTGGTGGTAGTGGTGGTGGGGGTATTTTTTAGCCGAAATCGAAATGTGGCCTAATTGGGTTGTTGGAAATGTACGAAAAATGTTTCGTTGCAGACATGCCGCAATTCGGGCTCACATCAACGAACTCCCATTGGGGCTACAGCGCGGCGAGCGCGTACTCCCCGTACTTCACACCCAGCTCCTTGGGGTCCTGTCCAGCACCTTCCTCCTCGCAGTTCAACACTCCAGCGTTGGGTTTCTCCGGGGCCGCGCCTGACCAGACCACCACTCAGGACGCGTTCGCATCAGGTAAGTAAATCAAAAAGATCACCACTGTAACCCACACGATTTTACGTACGTTTCCATGTTAGTATTACCAGATACGGGTTCCTCGGACCTGGATCAACACCTTGGGTTAGTCGCAACGCAAACCCACACCGGCGGTCAGAATCAAAACAGCTCCTCGCTGCTGGTACCACGTTATCCATCCAATAACGACTTCAGTCTGTCGGGTTCGCGTTCCCTCAGCGACAACTCCAGCACAGCGGAGAGCCCCGTCCAGGAAGACATCCTCAGCCAAACCCCCCTGGGTGCTTCTGCAAATGTCAACCACCCGAACAACTCCAGCAACTTCCAGTTGCATCAAAACATGGCCCCAACGACGTATGCTTCAGGCAACTGTAATAATTCGTTGTACCCTGTACTACCAGCAAGTTTACTCTACTCTCAACTCTACTCAGCTGCGAATCAGTCTCATAATTTCCACTCCCTGCATTCACACTCCTCGCAAGGACACGCCAATGATTTGCAGAGCGTTATGGATCAACTCTCCACAACAAATCAGCGACATGGCACGCACGGTACGCAGATGAACAACGGCAGCACCGATTTGCTTCTCACCAACTCAGCGTCCTGTGCAGCCGCAGCTCAGCGACAAGACGACGCACGGCTCAACGCCAATCAACAGCGAGGTCCAGCCGCACACAACACCGACGCAGTGTGGCGCCCATACTAAAAATATCCAAAGATGTACAAAAACTTAATTAATTATCATCAATCATCCAAAGTCATACAACCTAAAAAAAGTGAGCCAATGTATACATTAGCGTAAGTTCTACCTTCTAACGAATAAAAATAAATTTTTTGTATAATAAATGCTCGGAATGGACGCAAGTTTAAACGCTAAGTGCAATATAAAGCCAAAAAAGTTTTAATTAATTTTAAACAAATCAACTAGTTAATTACGTGTATAAATAACAGTTAATTACGTATTTAATGAATTATTACATTAAACAAACCACTAATCGTAAACCGATTTAGGCGATAAGGGAATTAAAGTGCAAACAACAACATTTTTGACGATGTGTGCGGACAAAAGTGAAGTGAAAGCGTGGAAATGATGGAAAACTAGGTTGATGTTTTAAATCTCACTGTTATTTATTGCATATGAACTCTTACTGATAGCATTATTAAGGTGTGATACCAAGGACTAACCGAACTAACCATAAATACATAAATGTGAAATGTATACAAAAGGCAATATTAAATATGCTACTAAAGATCATGGGGCTGTTAGTATAATAACTAGACACATCTCAAAACTTTTCATTTTTTAACTAATTTAATTTATTTCATTATAAACAATATGTGCAAAAACCGAATGCTATGAGCCATGTTCTGTTTCTTAATGTATCCTACGATGAAATTCTATGAGAATTGTAAATTATTAATTAAAATAAAAGCAACGATAAATCCAAAACCAAAGGCGGTTTTCATTCGCAACTTTCTCTCTGTGACTTTCAGGAGCTGGAAAATGATCGAGGCTGTGTAAATATTTTACATACTCGACGCGCGTAATTAAAAGATCACAATAGCGAGGACTTAAACAAATTACGAACTTTTCATTAACTTCATTACTCGCCTAACATAATTCATTCATATTTAATATGAAACTTTGCGTTGTATCCGTTCGTCGGAACTTGCGAAGGTTTGCTGCGTATGTACGCGCTTATTACCGAAATGATCTATATCTTGAAGTGCGTGTTTAAACTGCGCCGCTCCCATTTAAGTTTTGTGTTCAGATTGCGAACGGGATAAGATGCTGCTGCCGCCGCCCCCGTTGCCGCCGTCAAATGTTGTGCACACACGCGCGACCCTTCGACATGGTTGGTACACGTTGTACGTGTCTAGCGACACGCGTTGTTTCGCGGATGCCACTTTGCTCCTCGACTAAGTGAGTAACTCCGGAGTTCCCAGAGGTGTAATAAGGGCATAACCCTGATTAACACATACTCCATCTTGCGTTATTATCTTAACCCTTCTTGATTAATACGATATTCCTGCGGATGAGGTTTACGTCATACTCCTGGGAGTATGATGGCATATATTTTATACAGAATAATTTTTTGTTGTTGTTTTGAGATGAATTTTCTGGAGTAATGCGGATGCGCCCCATACGTAAGAGAAACACGTTCGAAACTTCAATCAAGATATAAATTAAACACACTAAATCAATATAGGAAAGTACTCGCTCCGCTCTCGTAGATGCTTTAACACACACCGCCGCCGCCGTGTGCATTACGCGCGCGGTGCTGCCGCCCCCAGTACATGTTTACTCGTCGCGTGTGTGCGTAATGCGGCTTTGTTCTTCTCCTACACGCCCGTCTGCCGGTCTCCACCGAAAACCATCTCTTCATCCATTCGATTTTCGCAAATTCGACTATGCACGGCGCGGCCGCCGCTCGGGGAATACGCCGTCTATACGAATACGACGAACGAAGTGAGACGGCGATAATTAAAGCGCGCTCATCAAACGTTGCACAGCAATCAAAGCGACCGCAGGATTTCGAACGAGCCTGCCGAAGGCAGACGCTGCTGCTAAACGTTTTCTCTTGTTGCCCTTCTATTCGCATTGTTATTAGTTTTGCGTTCTTTTTTAACTACATTTTTCTCTTTTACGCGCCGGAAAAAACAGTTAAAACATTGAAAGGAAAAGAAAATGATTTTCTTATGTAAGATTGAATGCGTGGCGCCGCCTCGTGTCTCCTTGAGACAACTTTTAAGAAGTAGCGACTTGGAAGAAAAGCACCTCGCTACTTGAAGGGGAAAAGTGGCAGTTTTTCCTCGGGGTGAGGGCGCATGAGAACTACGACTTCGGCCGTCTTCGGTTATACCCGCTCTGGTGTTTACTGCAGGGTGCTTTGAACCGATGATGTCCGAAGCAGGGGAGACGCGTGGAAAGCGCAGGGAAAGTTCCCCTGCGACTTTCTTCTTTCTTTCGTCCAAGACGTTGGGAATCTTAAATATACCAACTTGCACCCGACGCCACCAGGGTGCGGTATGTGGTCGTCAAGAAGAAAAAAATATTTCTAGAAAATAATTCAACCACTCTCTTCTTCTTAATTCTAATCCTGCTATTCGTAGATTGCAGGAGATATGAACAGAAGGAAAATTGCGGTTTGTAATTGGTGGCAGCGCGCTGCCGATAGTCGTTTTCATCAATTGGATGAGTACACCGACGAATTGTATTTATGGTGCGTTGGGGTGGCGGGCGACGCGTTAGACGCTCGCCGTCGCGACGCATCTCTTCTTGCGGTTGGTTTGCGGTTAGTCGGGGCGTGGTTTGCGGTCGCGCTTTCCGACGCGATTGGAAGTCTCCCACGCGCGATTTTGCGGTTGACGCATGTGGCGGCGATCATCGTCGCCGGTTTTTATTGGACCTAGACGCTACCCCTTAATATGCACCCCTTAGCTCCGAAAAATTAATGATGTCCATTTTGAATGTGTGCCCGAGGAATTCCTCGCGATATTCAATATCGGGGAAAAATTGTTTGCGTTTGAAGCACTAGATGATAATAAAATAGGCGAATCGACGGACGCGGAGCTGGAGAATGCACAGCACAATATTTTCAAATAACGCAACGCGAATATTAAAATCGTGCAGGTATTTCATATCGATAACAATCTCGGCAGCGGCGGCGCTCGCGCATATTCCGAACAATCCTGGTATGCTTCCGATCAGTGTTAATGGGTGCGAACTGCTGGAAATAGTTGGGATTGTTATCGATAAAATGCGAATGACGCATATTTGTCACTACACGTTACGTCCCGCGCGGAATGTAACAAATATGAAGTTTTGGCGCATGCAGAGCCGGGAGTAATGCTGCCGGCAAAACCACCGCCGGCGCACACAATGGCAGCTTGCATTTCCACGATTTTTGCCCCCCGATGACGAATGCCATTCCGGCACGCGCCGAATTTAATTAATAAATAATCAAATAGTTAGTTGCATCTTCATAAGTTTGCGCGGGGCTGGAATGCGGCGGAGTCACCTCCGCGCGCTGCTTGTGTCACCGGCATCATAATTAACATTCCAGTAATAGTGCGCTGCCGCCGCCGATCGATCGATTATGCGCGCTTTTTCGGAGCGCGCTCGGCGAACACAATCGAAGCCAGCGCTAATAAGCCACTTGACGCGCAGCGCAAGACAACGAGTGGCGATGCGTCCGAGACTCCGAGGGTGTTTTGTACTTTATGTTGTTAAGGGTCTGGCATCGATCCCGTCGAGCGGTACTCCAGTTACAGCGCGCCCAACCCCAACCCACCCCCACGCCGCCTCCGCGACCTTAAAGCGCAGCCGACACGGCAATAAGGAGGCAGAAATATAAGGTGTTCATTAGAGGGTAATTAAGACGCAGGTTATTACTCCGCAGAGGGCGCTTTCGCCGACGCTAATTAAACAAACTAGCGCACCGAGCACTTTCGCTGCCGCTGCCGCTGACAGCCCCTTCAAAGAAATCCTCACGCAAAAAAAAAAATTTCAATTTTTTTCTTCTTCACTCGCCGCGTGTAAATTAAATTACTCACAGGTCATAACGATAATATTGTTTAATATTAATAAGACGAAGGAGGTGTCAGCATGGTCCTGGGTCCTTAATCTTAATGGCGATCGCACGTTGTCGTGCATATATCAGGATGCCCGCCGTGTCAGCGCCCAAACATATCGCTGATACGCATTCGGAAAGCGCAGCAAACAACAGTGTTGCAGGAGGACAAAGGACGAGCGCAGGACTTATCGAATATAGGATGTGGAGCGCCGGGGAATTAACTAAAACACACTTACGTTTAAAGGGGCTTGTTGTTTGCCGCCTTGGAACGCTTGCTTTTAGCGCTCCTTAGACTGGAGGCGGCGGCGAACAATGGGCGCAAATCGAACACAAAGCCTTCTCCTCCGTCCGAGCGGCTTCCCGCCGGGGCTGGAAACTAATTTCGACCCATTTGGTTATTAAAATGTTTACGCGCGCTTTGTCTGCGATTTTTGCATCCCGGGTCTTGAAAATTAGCTAAGCTGCCGGCGTAATTAACGAGCAATTGAAGGCGTTCGCGGGCGATGCAATGTTTTAATTAGAAAAAACGTCGAGAGCGCTCCACCGCCGCATATTTAATGCTCATCGGCGCATATTTGTTTGGAAGCCGCCTTCGAAACGTCTTCTTAATATCTAAGACGCCGGGGTTGAAGATGGGGGTGAGGATAGCGCTCCCGCGGGTGAAGTTGCGCTAATTAATGGGACGCTACTTCGCTAAATACAACTCCGCCTGCATAATTATTACGGGCGCTACGGGCGCGAACCATTGTCAAAAACAACCCCTGCCTTTAATTTTCAATTTCTACGTTGAACGCGCGCCGCCTCCAAAGTGGCGAAAATGCATTTTCAAGACACAGTCACCGCGTGTATAACATTTTATTAAAAACGGAAGTCTATCGGATGTGTGGGTGGTATGTATGCCCCCAATATATTGTATAAATATGGCGGAGGCGGTTGTCGTACGGCGGCTGGTAATAACTTAGGTGTTGTTGGTGTTCCTGGCCGCGCTCGGGGACCGCCTGCGACGCGCTCGAATTCGGAATCAATTTATGCCTTCTGGGCCATAATATTGCATATTTTGTGTATCCCTCGGGGGCGCCGCCGCCGCCGCGCCATAGTAACATGCACGGCCGCACGCGTCTGAATATTGCACGAGCGCCAAGACGCACATTGGCGAAGAAATCATATTTTCGGGACGCGCGTTTTTATGCCAGCAGCGTGTTTTTTTTCTTCGGGCGTCCCACTCATATATTGCTCGTGAATTATTACGGGCGCGCCATGAAGAAATCAAGGCCGTCGGTGAACCCTCCAGTCGGCGAAAATCAATGATATCGTCATATATTGACGAGCGGGCTGATCGTGCGATTGCGTTGAGTGAGTGCGGAATCTTCGATTTGATTCGATCTGAAATTCCCGACCGAATCTAATTAAAAAAATACAACGCCAACGCCGGCAAATTTAATAGCTGGGCTGACGCGGGGGAGGCGATTCGATTTTTTTCCTCTTTATCTAATTTAATTCGTCCGCGCGACGCAAACAGCCGCCGACGACGTGAAGGCGTCGCCGCCACCGCCCGCAATTACATTTTCCCCGTTTCGTTTCGTTTTTTTTTGCTTCTGTCAACGGCGCGGTGATAGGCGCGCGTCGTTATGCACGAAGAAGTTAATGAAACGAGATTTTTCACGCGCGACGCCGGCTGAAAAATCCTGACAGCTCAAGTTTACGACTTCATGTACCGAGAAGCGAGGAAATTATTTGCCGGGCGCGAAGATGGAAAGCG